AATTAAAATTCATAATAATTAGTATCAAACAGCAAAAAAAAAATACTAATAAAAATAATAATAATAATAATAATGATGATGATGATGATGATGATGATGATGATGATAATAATAATAATAATAAAAATAATAATAATAATAATAATAATAATAATAATAATAATAATAATAATAATAATAAACACAATTAATGAACATTTACCTGACAGCCTAATCGCTCGGCAAATGGCTGATACCCGCTCGTCTGTTGGAAGGCAGGGTTATTGATGAATCTACGAGTCCTGCAGTGAAACCATTCGAGGTAACCCTGCTCCGGCTGCAGATAGTCGTCCACAAGGGCAATTGGGAGGAGATGATTGTCTCTATCATCATTCCACGAGGTCAGAAGAGGTCCATGGAATGTAGACCAATCATAAAATGCCCTCCCAGTCATCCCCTGCCCTCTGTGGTGTCCGAAAGAAAGCATATCTGTCTGTCGCCGACAACATGTTGCCGTAGATTGGTCAGGAAAAATGACCAGCTTTCCCTGCTCTCTTCATCCACAATCGCATACGCGATTGGCAATAACCGCTTATTTGCATTTTGTGCAACGGCCATAAGCAACTTCCCCTTGTACGAGCCACGCAAATGCGTGCCGTCCATGCTAATTACCGGCGGGCATCTCTGGAAGGTCTGAATGGCGGGACCAAAAGCCCAAAAAACAAATTTGAATTCTCTGTGCTCATAAGTGGCCGCCATATCTCCACCCTGCAATTCCCACTGTACAACTGTAGTGGGATTCGCTATTTGAAGCGCCGCAAAAAACCTACACGTTACAAAACGTAATCGTCAATACATAAACATAGTGAGATAAAATAAATAATACGTGCATTTTTAATAAAATTTTTCTTACTGAGGGAGTTGTGCGAAGTTCTCTTCCCAAGTGCCATACAAACTGTCGATGGCTTTTTTCCTCCCGTGCCACGCCTTCTTGTAGCTCACATCGACTTTCCAACATTTTTTTACATCCTCCTGGATCAGGGTAACACTGTACTCCGGTTTCTTTTGAATCTTGGTCATGATAAGATTGGAAATCATTGTGGCGGTTACATTTCTGTGGTCATTTTTGTCGACTTCTTGCATACAACTATGCCTCTCGGTCCATTCCGTTACTTCCCACAGTTCATGAACCCGTGTGCAGTGCGACACCCGAGCCTTCCACGGACAAGGCTGAGCTTCTTCGGATTTGCACACCACCTTGAATGATTTCTTATTCGAATATTTTGACCTAACCTCCCTCAATCTACTCACGTTCCAATTCATTATAGCAATCTGTGCTTCTTCCTTCGACCGGAAAACAGTACCCAAACGGATAGAATCGACATTTCCATTTCAAAGAGGGAGAGCATGCTCATCTCGGTCTACACACGACGGGTCCCAATCACCCATCTCGCGATACACGTGTTGACCGGTACTAGGAAATGAGTGCTCTTCAATAAACTCTGGATCACTCTCCTCGCTTATTGATGTATCCGATTCCGTTTCCGATGTATCATCTATGAAATCGTCTTCATCAAGAATGAAATCATCATCGGGTTCTTCTCTGGCTGTTGTGCTTGTCCCTTCGCCAAAATTACGAACCTGCGAAGTGGACGTACCTTCAAAATCAGGCACTCCCCCGTAAAAAGGGGGAACATCCTCAAACTGTGTAATCACTGCAGGTGCCTGCGTAACCTGCTTCAACTCTAAATGCAAATACACATAGGAGAAAGCAGGAAAATAATATATCCACTCAAAGGCACTATCAGTATTCATGTTTCCGATATTCCACGAACCATCGGGTCGGTTTGTCAGTAAACTAATCCCCTCAATTGTCAAACCATTTCGACGGAAACCAAAATTTTCATAAAGTATATCTACAAATTGTTGAAATGATATCTTCTCCCCAATGCAAAATGAACCATCCGGACGGTTTATAAAATCTGAAAATGAATCTAAAACCTCTTTGGGATAATTCCAATACACATTAACAAAGTATGGTAGTCCGGCAGACGCCATTTATACCTGTTAAAAAGTAAAGATAAACCAATATACCTCGTGCGAATGAATTAATCGGAAATAAGGCTCGTGTCGCTGTTGTCAGTTCACGTTAGAGTGAAGATTGGATCGAGTTTTTTTTTTCTCAACTATTTTCGCTCCTCTTTGAAAAAATGCTCTCAGTAGTGCTTGCTGCTCGCTCGCGTAAATGGAGAAGAAAGATTTTTTTTTTTTTAATATATTTTACGCAAAACGTATTTAAGGAATACGTTTTCTGTACATATAAATGTAAAACGTATTCCTTAAATACGTTTTGATTAAATGAATTTTTTTAAAAAAAATAATTTTTTTTAATACGCATTTAGTAAATACGTTTTCTGAAAACGTATTACTTAAACACGGTTTTTTTTATTATTTTTTATTTAACGAAAATTATTTTGAAAATTGTTTACGATTTTTTTTTAATTAAAACATTTAAATGAAAACGTATTCAAGGAATACGTTTTTTTAATTAATTTTTTTTGAAAAACGTATTCAAGGAATACGTGTGTTTCATGCTTGTCCACTCCCATTTTTCTTTTTTTTTTGTCCACTTAATTT